TCATATCATAACTAATTGATTTTGTAATTATTACATTAGCAGGCTGTCAACCAGGTCTTATCCAAAATAAAGGAGGAATATAGGAATATTTTAGCAGGAAATATAGGAGTTTTTGGACTATTTTGAGGCAAAAAATAGGAGTTTTCAACTTAAATTGTTTAACTTACCAATGCTTATATAAATGTAACTTATTCTTACTTTTACACATGCTGTTTCTACAATAAAACGTCTACCGTATAAGTGAAGGACACCATTAGCTGGCTGTCCAGCACCTTCCGACATAAAATAAGGGCGAATTTTAGGGTAATATTTCAGAAATTTTAGGGCTAAAATTAGGAATGCTAGGGTACATAATAGAAATTTTAGGGCTAAAATTTGCAATTTTATAACTAAATAAACTACGGTCCCAAAGGACCATGATGAGGGCTAATCTTTGCATATTTGACACAAAAGTAACTCACAAACAAGCAATTATCATAGTATTGCAAGCAATCCATAAGTCCCCTACCAGTAAGAGCCCAAGCAACATTCTGAAGGGCCATTGGCCATTCACTTATGTTCCTATCTTTGTTGAAAAAGTACTCTAAAAGTGATCAGAGGAAACAGTTTTTATGTACAGACAGACAGACAGACTGAAGGACACTCTAAAGTTATTTTTTAAACATCCCTGTTATCAAAATATAACATTTTTAAAATCCTATCATGATTGAAGAAGTTGGGGTAAAAATTACCAATTTCTCAAAAAAAAGTCTAAGTTCAAAAGGGGCATTATTCTGGATATATTCTGGATATAATCTTGCTAGAGTATTGAATATTCACAAATGTTGAGTGATAATAAGAAACATTTATATGAAGTTTGAAGTAGATAAAAAAACAATGTTTTTTTCATGAAAATTTTATGTTCAAGGGAGGTAATTCTGATAAATTTTGTGCTAGAGTTGTAAACTTTGTCACATATGATGTGGTTGATGACAAGCAACTTATATTTAAAGTTTGAAGAAAATTCCTTAAGAAATAAAGTACTTATAGTGAAAAAAACTTAAAAACTAGAATCAGAAATCTTGAAATTCAGTCTATTTGTTGCCATAGCAACCAGAACTTTCAACATAGGAAGATAAGAAAAGGATGTGCATAATTTCCATACTGCCATCTACCCATATGTCAAGTTTCATAAAAATATTTTCAGTACTTTTTGCGTTATCACTGGATCCAGGTTATGTGTAAAATTTGGCATCTTTTCAGTCTATTTGTTGCCATAGCAACCGGAATTTTCAAGCATAGGAAAAAAAGAAAAAGACGTGCATAATCTCCATACTGCCATCTATCCATATATCAAGTTTCATAAAAATATTTTTAGTACTTTTTGCGTTATCACTGGATCCAGGTTATGTGTAAAATTTGCCACATTTTCAGTCTATTTGTTGCCATAGCAACCGGAATTTTCAACATAGGAAGAAAAGAAAAAGACGTGCATAAATTCCATACTGCCATCTATCCATATATCAAGTTTCATAAAAATATTTTTAGTACTTTTTGCGTTATCACTGGATCCAGGTTATGTGTAAAATTTGCCATATTTTCAGTCTATTTGTTGCCATAGCAACCAGAATTTTCAACATAGGAAGAAAGAAAAAGACGTGCATAATCTCCATACTGCCATCTATCCATATATTAAGCTTCATAAAAATTTTTTCAGTACTTTTTAAATTATCGCGGGACCCAGGTTATGTGTAAAATTTGCCATATTTTCAGTCTATTTGTTGCCATAGCAACCAGAATTTTCAACATAGGAAGAAAAGAAAAAGACGTGAATAATCTCCATACTGCCATCTATCCATATATCAAGTTTCATTAAAATATTTTCAGTACTTTTTGTGTTATCGCGGGATCCAGTTTTGTGGACGGACGGACTGACGGACGGACGGACAGACGGACGGACTGACGGACGGACAGACAGACGGACGGAGGGTAAACCTAAAGTCCCCTCCGGTTAACCGGTAGGGGACTAATAATGCTCTAGTTTAGTTAGAGCAAAGGTGCTACCAGTGTGGACTCACTGGTCAACTGCCTCCCCTGTGGAAATGGTCATAGTCAAATCATGTTCAAACCATATTTTTTAAACTGGCTGAACATGTCAAAAAGATCATGACTGTTCTACCTATGTTTTGGGAATGTTATAACCACAAGTGTCTAAACGGAATTCTTATACAGTGAAATTCTTGCACAATGCAGCTTTTGAATATGGACAAATGAAATTTTTTGTACAAGTAGGAAGTAAAAAGGCAGTTGCCTTAGTACAGTCATTTGAATAAATGGGAAGCATCTATAATCAACACAAAGAATTGCACATCAAAAAAGTTAATCACACAGACCATTTAATTGCAGTTTATCTAGATCATATAATTGCAAAATGTTTGTACATGGAAATTGGAAATGAGCTTTATATTACTGAACTGCCAATCTTTTTTTGAGTGTGATTAATAATACGAGTCTGCCTTTTCCTAAATTGTACCAGATGAATGAAAGAACAAGAATTGAATGAAATTGATAACTTTGTGGCAAAATAAGCAAACTCTCCTACAAAGACATCGAAAAGGATAAATAAGTATGTGGGAAAGAATAATTTTTCAAAGTCTACGTTAACCCGTTCAGTACTTTACAATGTTGTTTTGAAATTATGCAGATTTAAATAAAAGAGTTGTGAGTAAACAAATTGTACATTAATTTTTGACAACTATTTATACATGTTTTTAATTAAGATTGTGTTACAACAGCTTCATAATGATCATTTTTAAATATGATATGATATAAATGGACCACTTCAGAAATTTGGATAAAATGAACAAACATAAACTTCAAGATATCTGGAGTTGGCAAAACAGTGTCAAAATATTCCACAATAAGTGGACTCTTATGGTTATGATTTGAGTTTCAGGACCATGATATGGTAGTATTTTTGCTGTCAATATGATTATCAACAACTGCTTTGATTATGAAATAGCAAAGTTACTGACATAGTCAAAGTAACTTTTAGTTAAAACGAAACCATTTCAATGTCATCAATTTTGAGTTGGTATATCATGGCCAAATCTTTTTTGACCATGTTCAAAACATGGTTGACTTAGTTATGTCTGTGATTATTTTGACAGAGTTACAAGTTATAAGTATGTTTATAACAAAAGATAAAAAAATTAGGAATATCAGTGAAAAAATAGGGCATCTTTAGGAATTTCCTTTGAATTTTTCACTTTTTTAGGAATTTTAGCCAAACTGAAAAAAATTAGGATTTTTTTAGGAACGCACCAGACAGCCTGCATTAGTGAACCACAGCATCAGCATCCCGGGAGAAAGTTACAGCAATGCATGACTATCATCTGAATGGTCACCTGAAATAAAGTTGACATACTGATGCACTGCTTTTCATGGTGACCATGCAGATGGCTATGTGGAGCACAGCAGCCTTGAGCAAAGAAATGTGATGCTGAGGCAGGCATACACATTCTCTTACCTGTAAAATACAAAATGCCAAAAACAGTACCAAAATTTAAATCTCTTTGAATTCCTCGGCAATATATTTTTAAAAAAATATAGGAAAAATAATCAAAATATAGGAGAATATAGGAAAAATAGGAGGTTTTTTGAAATATAGGATTCCGACCCAAAATATAGGAGTTTTATAGGAAAATAGGAATTGGTTGACAGCCTGATAATGCTATTTTAACGTACATAATTGATTTTTGTAATTATTACATCAACCTTGTGTAATTTTTTATAATAACTGGTTTCTTAACCCTTTACTTTTTAGAATGACTATATTTTACTAAAATAAAGAAAATCTGTGAAGCATAAATCTGCAGAAAACTAACTAGCCAAAAACAAACAAAAAAGAGTTATATATGAAAACAGAATGGAGGAAAAACAAGGCAATAAATTACAAAATGAGATTTCATAATTCATACATAAGTTATATATAACAATAAGAGTACCCCCAAAATAAAACAAATCATAATTTCTACTCACTTAATAGATATGTAGGGTTAAATGGACAGAAAGAGTTTTGTAATTTTCCAAATGCAATATATTTTCTCATAAAGGAAAATTAATATATTTGAAAGTGCATGTACATTTTTTTAAAGAAATGAAAAGTTAATATCTCTGATTCATTATAAACAGCTTTGTGATTACTCCCAACTGAAAGAAAAACATAAGGACAAACTTTTGCAGAGACAAACTTTAGTACAAACCCAGGCAAGACAAACTTTCAGACTTTATTAACAAAATCGGGAAAATGTTTCCCTTTCAGTGAGTGCAGAAATTTATGGAATAAAAGAAGCCCTGAAATTTCTTAAAGCTCCTAAAGAGCTCATGAAAAAGATACAAATTCAAATTAGTTCTAGCGTTAACCAGTTTAAACACATCTTTCTATCTTCCATTAATCCAAACGGAACAAATGCTACGCTTAATATAAAAACAAGAGCCCTTTTTATCAAATACATAATTTTATGCCACCATCCCTAATTCTTGTCAGTAACCAATTTACCAAAAATAGTTTATCAATTTACTGTAAAAAAAAAAAATTGTATAAAAACAAAAACCTGTATAAATTGTATAAAAACAAAACACATATACCGCCAGCGCTAATTCTTGTTAGTAACCAATTTGCCAAAAAGGTTATCAATTTACTATATAATTTTTTTTAACACAGTTGCATAACAAAGTCACAACCTTTTGTTCTTGTCACAGAAAAAAGTTTAAAAAAAACATGTAGAATACAAGATTCATCTAATATGCCAGTTTAGGTTAATCTCGTACATACAGACTGACAGACAGGTTCAATTACTGTACCCGGAGGGGTATATAAAATCATAAACAGTCTATGATGCATAGTGCATGTAAGGATATAGGAGGGGGGAGTACAGACAATAAAGTGAGAAATTATCCTGGTACACAAATTATTTTTATATAAATAGATACAGTATGATGTAGGTATTATAACAAACCTCAGTTCTTTTCTGAAAATATGTAAAATTATCTTTAAAGTTTAATAAACACATACTTTATTATTATCTTTCAACATATATTTTATTATCTTTAAAATATGAAAGTTTTAATAAAAAAATACATGCCATAAATGCTAATGTGACTAGTTTTATTTTTTTTAATTATATATTTTTAAGGTTGTTGACTTCAAACCAATTGCTGCTCACGACTATAGGTTCATGGGACTTTGGGTTCTTTCACCTAAGATATCCACCTAGCCAACTGAACACTGGTGGTGTTGGCTTGTGTCTGAAATAATGCACTGAGGGGCACTTGAGGTCTTCATCCACCAGTAAAGCTGGAAAGTTGTCCTATGACCTATACTGTGTTAGTTATTAATGATAAATAGAGTGTATGTGAACTAAAACAATTCATTTTTTCACATTGTAAATCTCATCCGAGTACCTTATACTCTTATTTATTGACTGGCAACTAATAATGTCTCAATTATTTGGCTATATATCAGAATTAACATATTTCCAGAAGTTCCTATCACCTTCTCAACTTTTGCTCACATGAACAATGAAATCTAAGATTTCTGGTATTAGATAATCAAATTATCAAGCACAATTTTCACCTTTTACTATGATTTAAGACTCAAACAGTCAAGGTTAATTGAATCTGAACAAACAAGACTTAAAAAGCATTATTATGAATTAACTAATTTACTAAATGGGATTCTCAAATCTAAGTTTACCTCTTACACTGGTTTAAAAACAACAGTACAAGCAACACCACAACCTCAACATATTAGACATGTTATAATAAATAGCCTAATGTATTATAATGTTGTGTATAAAGTCACACCACAGCCTAGTAAAGCCTGGTAAAATGACATCTCTCATCTTAAACTGTTAGAGCAAGAACCTTAGGTGACATTCTGGCATCATTTCTACCATGAATCAACTAAAATTATTCACATCATAACAAAATTAAAGAGTTACTATAGCAACCAAACTATTTACCTGATCCTGCAAGTTTTCAGCACACATTTTGATATTTTCTATCCAGTCCCTCATGTCAGTCTCGGAATCACAGCCTACTTCTAGTGGAGCAGGTATCGTGTTACTGAAGATTCGGAAACAGCATGGCTTATCTCCCCTTCCTTGCATTACCTCTGTGAAATAAATACACTGGTGTGGTCAAAGTCATGGAAAGCTTCAAATCATATTTTTATTGGTTCAAATCATATGTTTATTTGTCTAAATCATGTTTTATTGGTTCAAATCATATTTTTATTGGTCTAAATCATATTTTTGTTTGTCTAAATCATATTTTTTTGGTCCAAATCATATTTATTCTTATTGGTCCAAATAATATTTTTATTAAAGAGACAGACCAAATCATATTTATTCTTATTGGTCCAAATAATATTTTTATTAAAGAGACAGACCAAATCATATTTATTCTTATTGGTCCAAATAATATTTTTATTAAAGAGACAGACCAAATCATATTTATTCTTATTGGTCCAAATAATATTTTTATTAAAGAGACAGACCAAATCATATTTATTCTTATCGGTCCAAATAATATTTTTATTAAAGAGACAGACCAAATCATATTTATTCTTATCGGTCCAAATAATATTTTTATTAAAGAGACAGACCAAATCATATTTATTCTTATTGGTCCAAATAATATTTTTATTAAAGAGACAAATAGGGTGGGTGATAACTTGACATATTGAGTCACCGCAAATGTTTTTGTTAATTTTTCACTATGTCTTTCAATTAATGAATTCACCTTATTCCAGGCAAATACTTACTGTTTCGATGTAGCTCTTGTATTTTTTTCCAAAATTCTTGCAGAAATTGTGATACGTATGTTAATCAAAATATTGGCACACAGAAAAAATTTCTACACCATTCTAAGAAATTCTTTTTTTTCCAAGTAAAAGTGCAAAATCTGTGCTACTGCTATATTTTGTTTTATTCTTCATTTATCATTTTGTTTAAGAAAACCTACATTGTTAAGGTCGAATGGCAACTTTCAAGCCTTACAGGCCTTAAAAAAAGACCTCAGGAGCACTCTGTGTGTGAGAGGGTACTTTAGTAAAACCACAGACCTTCTGTAAGCTAGCTTGATAGCTAAGTCCATGTCCAAATCCGAAGCCACACTAGTGAGAGGCAAATGGTTAAAAGTCAGTGACCATGACCACTCAGCCATGGTGACACCTAATCCTCTTCATGGAATGGGTAGACAGACGTTTCACTGTTGAGACAGTTCACACCAAGACGTTTCACTCCCAAATTGGAGTGAAACGTCTTGAAGATGTTTCACTCCCTTTTTATACCAAAATTTTTCTAAGACTTATGATATACTTAAAATAAATAGACCTTAAATTTAATAAAAATTAATTACGGAAGGGAATTTCACTTTTTGTTAATGACTATTTACTCAGTATATATTTATTATCGTACATGTGGAATGGGTAAGAATGCATTATTTTTGTTATCATAAATACTTTTTAAACAGTAAATATATTATATTTTATAGACAAAATTCTGAAATTTTCGACCCTGTATTATGTATGTTTATGTAGAAGGTTTTAAACCTTTGTCAAGCAGTACCTATATTTAACTTAATGGCCATAGCAATCAGAAATGCCTTTAAATAAAATTAAAATAAAAGCATTGGGACTTTTTCAATATTTGTGATGTAAAATCATTATTTTGTGACTAAAAGAAAAATTGTCTTTCATAAAGTGAGACATCTTAAATCATAATAAAACAAACATAAGAATAATGATATTAAATATCAGAGAAGTTGAATGAAAACATATTAAAATTTACATACATTGTGATTCATGTTCTTCTTCTTTATTTCTTTTATTTTATTTATTTATTATTATTATTATCTTTTTTTTTTTGGACAGGATAAAATTGTATTATCTTATAGTTCTTTACAGCTGTTAATGATAAGAATTCATAAGTGATTTTCTTTGCATTAAGTATGTAAACATTCTGCAAATTTTCTAAAATAAAAATGATTTATTTATATATCGGATTAAACATTATTTTAATTTGTTATATAAACAAAAACTTATAATGGAGAAGTTTCTGTTTCCAAGACTTTTGTTTTAATTGGATGTTATCTAAAAACTATTTTAATGGTCCATTAAACAACTGATTAGTATTGTTTGGTTTTATTAACCTGTCAATTACATACTGATTACACGGTCGATGCACACGGTATATTAATCTTCGGTAGATTTTCGGTAAGTTCCGTGAGATGTACACTGTGCGATGGAATTTAATTTAATTTGTATCTCTCAACTAAGTGCACTCTGCATTATAGCGCAATAAGGTAAAGCACGAGTTTATAATCTAAGTGCAACACGTGTTTTAAGTTCGAGACCGCGTAGGTCCATGTTTTTTCTTCTTATTAATACATTCAATAATATTGAAGCTATATATATGATTATTTTATGATGTTCGTTTCGTTTTAATATGTTTTACTTAATTTTATTATGTCTATAACATGTTTTAAGAATTCATGTTTAAAATTAAAACGGATTAAAATCAATAAATCTTTTCAATGCTGTAAAACACACTACAAACTGTTCCATTAAAATATACGGCAAAAATAAAGGGAGTACTAAAACAATGGCAACAGCAAGGATCGAACCACAGACCTCTAAATTATCAGGCATTCTCTTAACCGACTGTACTATTTTGAATTAACGAAAACCTTCACATTCAGCTGGCATGACTTTCAATCCATGACTAATTTATACTACATTAATTCTCGTAAACTACACGGACCAAACCGAAGTGGGATCGAATATTTAAATGAGTTCTATAATGTATGCATAATTGACAGGTCAATAAAATCAGACTATAAAGTGTTGATGCTAAAATGCAGTGTTTACACAACTGATTTAATGGTGATGTCAAACTGTTAGTTGTTGGTCTCAGTGTTTATACAACTAAAAAAATGGGAGTGAAACGTCCATACAATTGACAAATTGGGAGTAAACATCTAGGTGTGAACCGTCTTGGGAGTGAAACGTCTCAATAGTGAAATGTCTTGGGAGCGAAATGTCTGACATTCCATGAAATGACTCATGGGAGTTTCTATATTTGTATTTATCACTCAGCTATCAGATGGGCCGGGAACCAGAATCAAAAGCTTTACCTGTTATACATCCGCGCACATCTAGAGCTCCTTTCTGCAGGGAACCAAGAGGTGTGTTGTCTACAGAGTCATCCTGAGGTTCTAACTCAACTACAAAATTTGCTGGGAACCAAAACTGTTTTTTGTCGGCATAATCTCCACGCCACCTGTAAATTAAAACAAAATATGGTGTGGTCATTCTGATGTCATATTAAAAATCAATACAATAACTGTCATCATCTGATTGAAAACAATACCTCAGATTTTCCTAGTGTTAACAATAAATGTCAATAGGACCATAGTCTGCTTGACTATTCTTAGTAAAACAAGAGTCTGGATAATGTAGAAAATGGCCGTAATTCTGTCAAAATCCATGTTAGAGTTATGGACCTTTAACAGTGATCTCCTGTAATGTTAATAAAGGGTTCAAATCTATTTTTAGCTAAATATTTCCATAAAATTTATAAACAGTAAAACTATGTTGTTTTAACAATCTTAGAGTCTATTAACGAATGATTTGTTACATATTATGGTAAAATGTTTCTGTATTTAATACACCTGAAAAATGTGAGAAACAGAATAAATTGCCCCAGAAGAAAATATTACACTGTTACTTAAAGTAGGAATTTAGTTGTTTAACAATGATTTTCTTTATGCATGCACCATTCATTCAAAATGAAATATACCAAAAAAATTCTTTCATTCAGTCATTTTGAAATTATTTTTTCAGATCGAAATAAAATTTTTGTTAACCTCATGAGGTAGCAGGGATAGGTGCAGTCCCGTGCATTATTTCAGGCACAAACGGGCAACTGAGTAGAACCACTGACATTCTGTTCTGTAAGCTAACTTGATAGCTTCTTCACATGAAAGAACTGAAAGTCCCAGACAGGAGTCGGACCCACAGCGGTGAGGGGCAAGTAGTTTGAAGTCAGCAACCTTAACCACTTGGCCATGGACGCCCGCATTTGCCATTTATAAAATAGTTGAACCATGGTGTGAGATGTAAACGTACTTACCAGCCATTGTCATGTTTGTTGACATTAGTGATGATAGATCCCTTGCAGAATGATAACTCATCATCTCTATTAGCCTGATAATCATGAAGTGCTTTAACACGAACCTGTCAGTATTATATATCACATGTTATTATATATATCATATATCACCATACATGTATATAGTACATTATGATATATATCATACTGCCACCTTAGTGCAGTAGCATGTTAACTCCTATTGAATTCTATAAGAAGCTAATCCATTACTGCACTAAGGTGGAGATACCTTATTATATGCATTTTATATTATCATACATTAAATTATATATCATACAGTATTATTTCACATTAAAATAAGATTAGAGATATATAAATCCCAATTTCACAATTTCAATTCATATTACAGAAGTATCATGTTTGTGTATTTTTTTAAACTAAAATGATATTCATTACTTATTATTTAAAAAAAATTGTCATTTACAACTTTATGCCAAACATGGATATTATCAGCATTATTGTGTAACTCTAAACTCAACCAATCATAGTATTACATTTGAATTAAAAGTAATTTCACTAATCACTAAGAATTATAATTCTTTAAACTATTTTTTTTTCTAAATAAGAAAAGAAAGTCAGAAATACATTTCTTATAGTGATTACTATAAAACAATGCTTGAAAACTTGCTAAGAATCAATATATGTTTTTACATATTAAGTATAGATAATAAATTCTCCAAAGTCATAACTAATCTGATTTAATTAAAAAATAACATCATTAAATGGCAATATAATGGAAGATTTCCTGAGTACATGGGGGGAAAGCAGGGGTATATTGCTGCAATAACATATTGATATAATATAGATATACGTGTAAAATGCAATAAAATATTGTTAATTCTGATTTTCATATTTTTGCTACATAGAAACATAGAACATTTGAGCCGCGTCATGACAAAACCAACATAATGCGTTTGCGACCAGCATGGATCCAGACCAGCCTGCGCTTCCGCGCAGTCTGATCAGGATCCATGCTGTTCGCTATCCGTTTCTCTACTTGCTATAGAGTTTGTAAGCCCTGATCAGACTCCATGCTGGTCGCAAACCCATTATGTTGGTTTTGTCATGGCGCTGCTCAATTTTCTTGACATGCAAACTAACAGGACACCAAGCAGATACCTGACTGATAAACTAATTTACTATACATTGAAATTAAAGTGCACACACACATATAGCTTTGAGAAGGGACCAAGAATGATCGTAACAATTACTATATAATAATATTGATAATGCCCCCTTCTTTTTAACCAGGTGAAAAGTCTGATTAATTGAGGAGGAGAGGCCGTCAAAAGCTTATTTCTATTTTTGGATCTTAAATAGCCAACTTGATAAGCAAACTTGAATAAACTCTTCTTTTTTTCTTTTGTTTGTAAAAGACCATCAAATAATCATTTCTGTAAGTTTCATCAAAATCTACCAGGCTGTTCAAGAGGAAATGTAGTTTAATTTTTTTTTTTCTTTTTCAAGCTCCTTGCCAACATTTTTTTCAGCAGACTGAACAATTTTAGTGACCACAAATCGATTCCTGTAAAGTTTCATCAAAATCAGCAGCATAATTGAGAAGGAGATGCTGATTAAAGCTCATTCATAATTTTATTTATAATACTGCATATTTGTAATGTTTTTCATTGGATAAACATGACATTTATTTAATCTACATTATAGATACACTGCTGCAGTCGATATATATGGAAGTTATTTCATTTTCTTTTTTTTTATCACTAAAAGAGGATGTTGGCAGTGTCATAAATTATTGATAAAGATTCTTGATTCTCTTATATGACCGTATATAAATGGTTATTTGCAGTTCAACATAGGACCATGTAACCTGTCAATTGTCTTTGTAACTAATGATTAACTAGAAAGGTCAAGATTGGATAGAAAGTATTGTTAGAACACCATAGCAATTACAGAAGTAACACTAAAGGTTATAACATTACAATAGTTGCATAAATACAGTAATATACATGAGTGTGTACAAAGTTACACAGACCAAAGAGGGGAAGCAACTGGTCTAGTGGCTGGCTGGCAAGCCTCTTTTTATACAGTATATGATTTATGTGATATATATTGTACAGTCTATAAGAATACTGTATATAGTATATTAGTAAATATAGACATATAGAAACTCAACTCATAACTTTATGGATATGATTTACACTCATAAAAGGTCATATAGAAAACCAGCATGCCCTTTGATGTTATTTTATGTATTATTTCTGGCCAGAGCAGGCACCAGCCTTATATATGATGACTAGACTGCCCTCTACAAGTCAGCTATCTCAATCATTTAGTCAGGTCCTCCCCCATCCACTCCCATTTCAGATTTTTTTTTAAAAGTAACAATTTACATAAAGGAAGGTAATTGGTTGAATAAATGCTACATTCTCATATCCAGAACTATGTCACTTATTTACTTCTTGTCTTTGCAAATAAACATGGACACACAAAAAGCAGTTTTTGTTAGTAGGGAGATTATAAATTGAACAAATGTACATTTTAACATTTTGATTTGACGTCTCAAATTTATGTTCAAAACAATTTAAACAAAACCTGAGGCGTCAAAGCAAAATTTGAATGTTTCCCATTCTAAATAAAGAGTAAAGAAAAGTTTTCTATATTAACTAGTTTCAAACTACCAATGCTTTTCAAATGATCTATTCGATCTAGATTTTTATCAAAACTGGTTATTTAAAATGGGACAACTTATTATAAGCATTTTTTTAAATAAAGAGTATATCTTTTTGTTTAAGGGTGCAATTTTACCGTGGTTACCTTAGAAAAGAATATATTGGGTTGAAAGTAAATAGCCTTATCATATGTTTCAGCATCATTTCCATTAGAACTTGGGGCCTGGAAATAGTGAGAAATTCCTGTTGCTATAGCAACTAGTAACATTCTTTTATGATACATGGAAAATATGGTACAGGTCATGAAAAAGCTTTGCCGCAATCAGTATGTGCGTCATACCAACATCTACAAAGAAATAAAAAAGTGAGTATTTCTTTGCACCTTTTAAACTGTTTAACAATACATTGTATTTTCTTAATGATATCAACTTAGGAATGTATGGAATACCGTATTACTACTAAGGCTTTCTCACAACAAGCAAAATTTTTAATTTCATGATTCACCCCTTGCCAAAATTTAATTTTCCGGTTTTAAAATTCAAAACTCATCTGGCACAAGAGGCTCATCTGGCATGCACCGTGATAGATGAAATTTACAGCATGAGTAAACTAAAGGAACCACCAGACACTGAAATACAAGAACAGCTATTCAATCTAATAGACACTTACAAACCATAAATAAGATGGTCGCAAAATTTTTATCTCACTTTGTTGTTTAAAATTTAGCAATTTCTTGACGATCATAAATTTAGTTAATTGCTTGAAAAAAAACCTAGTATACGGTTTTGTGTGCGCTAAAAAATTATAGTGCCCCCTTTTTTACTGACCTTTTTCAAATCTCAGATTGTAAATATAATTATAGTTTCTACACGTTGAGTCAAACATCATGCTTAACAAATCCTTAATATGAATTTTATTCCCAACTTAGAATATTACTTTAAAAACCCATCATTGAATATTCTATGAATTTCGTTCAACATAGTCTGATGGCAGCAAAGCAATTTCTTTCATCAAAAGTGAAAGGTGAGGTAAAATACAGGTCATGTGATAGATCATGTGACAGGTCATGTGACAAGAAGTGATTCATTCTGTATCAAGATGATGGGTGGGGTAACTTCTTGTTGTGTCTATAGTTACCTTAGATGTATATGCATTAGGCAGGTGATAAATTCCTGCATCATATATGGCCTCATCTTGTGTACTTGGGTCCTAGAAAAAGCATGCATTTCAAATATTCAAAACAAAAAAGAAAACTATACTAAAAACATAAACTGTCCAAAAAAAAACAAGGACATTTCTCATATTCAAAATTCAGAGAACATTCGAAATAAGGCAAAAACTTAATAAATACCTACTTTTGAAAAAAGCTTAAACCTTCCTAACCATTACAATAAAAAAGATTTTAAACATATTGCCTAGTGAAGAGAATTAAAGATCCTGTATCCAGCCTTTATGTATGTATATGCATAATTCCGTGGTTGACATCAAAAGAATTATACATATAATACAGTAATCAATATGTTACAGAAGCCATGAAGTGATCATTTTAGCATTCAGAAAAAAATATTCCTTTATAGGACAGATACCGGTATATATTTTTAAAAATATAAACCACCAAAGATTATCCCTACTATAGTCATTTTAGAGTTGATGCTCTTTGTTATTAATTTTTTTTTATTAAATGAGTTTTAAGTCACCCTAACACTTTAAACTTTACATGTTTATTTCAAGTTTCAAGCTTAAGTGATGGTGAAAGACCCAAAAAATTTCCCTCAACGCATTATTTTTATGCATAAATGGCCACATGACTTGAACCATCAACTTCCCTGACCTTCAGTTAGTTGGTAGGTTTCTCCAGGAAAGCATCATAAAAGTCCATGGTGGTATTCAAACGCAAAAGAAAAAGTTCTAAACTTTGGGACACAGGATACATTTAAGTTAGAATTGAATCACTTTGCCATGATGAAGGCTTCCTGATATTTTTATTTTTTTGTTTGATGGCTCGGTAATGCGCTGAAACAGGAAAACTGACTTTAGCTGACTTCGGGTGTTACAAACTTAAAGCAACACCATGGGTCAAAACCATCTCACCTGATGGAGCTAAGAAATGCATAGACTCCAGTAATTGGAACCTTTTAAGTAGCCTATTACAGTCACACAGGGTTAAACAGGGGCCGCAATTCTGATGCCTCAACCCGAATAGACAACCCCTCCGCCACAAGGTGGCCTCCTTATGAAATATTAGAAAACATGGTATAGACCAACATTATACAAACTTGACATGGTCAACAAGCATACAACTTATCAAATGTTTCTTTGAATGCCAAAGTTTCCACTTCATAGCTTCTTCCACTGAAGAAGGAGAATCTTCATCTTCCACAGAATCTTTAAAAAAAAATTTTGTCGAATGTTTGAACATTTGGATGATTGCAACTTATTATGAATTATCTAGCTGTCAGTTCACCAATATCATGCACTGACTATAAATGAAGCTAACCTATTTGTATTCTGAAAATATGATGGAAAACAAGGGGGCCATTGGCCCCAATGCGCTCACCTGAGTACTAAATGCAATTGATATACAAAAGTGAAGTTACCAGGTCTTAAATTCAATTTTGACCCAAGGGCTATAATTTGAACAACTTTTGTAGAGGACCTATAGGTGATATTACATACCAAATATCAAAGCTCTAGGCCTTTCAGACAAGGAGATTTTCTAAGTTTTTACTATATACATATCAGGAAAACCTATGACCCCCTAGGGCGGGGCCAATTTTGACCCCAGGGCTATAATTTGAACAACTTTGGTAGAGGACCTATAGATGATATTACATACCAGAGATCTAAGCTCTAAGCCTTGTACCTTCAGACAAGAAGATTTTCCAAGTTTTTACTATATACATATAAGGAAAACCTATGACCCCGGGGCGGGGCCAATTATAACCCCAGGGCTATAATTTGAACAACTTTAGTAGAGGACCTAAAGATGATATTACATACAAAATATCTAAGCTCTAAGCCTTGTACCTTCAAACAAGAGGATTTTTTAAGTTTTTACTATATACATATAAGGAAAACCTATGACCCCCTGGGACGGGGTCAATTTTGACCCCAGGGCTATAATTTGAACAACTTTTGGTAGAGGACCTATAGGTGATATCATATACCAAATATCAAAGCTCTAGGCCTTGTACTTTCAGACAAGAGGATTTTTAAGTTTGCATTTTTTAAACTCCCTACTTATGCATCAGACCAGAACCAGTTGAACAACTTTGGCAGGGGACCACCCAAGGATCATTCCTGCAAAGTTTGGTTACTGTGCAGTAATTGGTTTCTGAGGAGATGTTGTTTATAGAAATTGTTGACGAAGCAAGACGACGGACGCTGGGAGATCACAATAGCTCACCATGAGCATGTTGCGCTCGGGTGAGCTAAAACACACATAAAAACTCTTTTTTACTGCTTTGGAATGCTCACTATCTTGAAGAGGTCTATATCTAAACAATATATCAACAAACAAAACAATAAAAAAATCGTAAGAACATCTAAAATATACATAATCAAATAAAGGCCAAAACAATATCAGGTTCTTGAATATTTATGTTAAACAATCAGACTTATACAAAAAGCAATGCACCACCTTAAAAAAAGCAAAGAGATGCTAATAAAAGCAAAACAAGGTACCGAAAAAAAAATTAGAAAATGAGCTCAATTTTTGGTTTTGTTGTTTTGGCCTTGTCTATAAATCAAATAAGGCAATAATAAAACAATATCATAAGCAACAAGCAAATGTGACTTTTGGGATGCTTTTGTTGTTACCCTTTCTAGTTTTACCTTGGATGTAAAGTCGTTTGGGTTTATATATAGTTCTGGCTGACCAAACAGTCCATATAGTGCTTGATCTGAGGGGTCCTAAAATACAACTTTACCTTCAAATATACTCAAGTCAGATACATATAAAGTAACCCTGTTATTGTTTTCAAATATGGATCATATACATAATTATATAATTGGTTCAATATAGTTTTTATAAAGAAATAAAATCCATAGTTTAATTGCACATAATATTATCAAAGTCACAAACATTACTTTTCAGCAAAGTTAGGAAAAGGGCGTTTCCAATTATCTTGCTATTTCAGAAAACCTTAGGTAGAAGGAAAGCCATCGTTACATTCTCATATAAAGTTACCATTCTCAGCATATAATTGTTATGGCTGCATTTCTTCAAGCGATTAATTTGTAACCAAACAAAGGGAGATAAATCATGTTTGCAACATTTAAGTATGTATTCAGATACTATGACATGTGATAACCTGTTCTAATAGGTTTACTACATCAATTTATATATGACAAATTTGACATATTGAAAAGAACCTTATAGTGATAAGGTACCATTGTCAATAGTTCAATAATTAAAGCCTACAATATAAGTTCAAACATTTATTTATGTGCAACATATTTAATGATTTTTTTTTTAAATGGTGACCAATCTTGCAAAAATCAAATGAGAAGTTTTTCAAAAAGCAAATAAGACTTTGTTTTCATATTCCAGGCCATAGCGTATGGGTCTTGGTCATAAACCCAAAGACCACCTTACAAGGACCATTTTTCTAATGAATAATAGACTAGAGTTATGGGACTTTTAATCAGTTAGATTGTTTGATTAATGACCATACATTTGTGAAAACTGAGTCCAATTTACATTACATCACTGAGACACAGTCATGTATGGTCAAGTTAAGAACAGTTCTAGAATATTTCACTAAAATTCAAAATGAAAGGTTTTAGACATAGCCTAAGGAATGGGATAATTTAAAATTCAATGTAAAACTGGTTAATTAGTACACAAATGTAGAAAAGCTTTCATATAAAATATGTGCCTCAATTTAAAGGCATGATCTGATTGATGAAAGGTTGTGAAAATTTCAAATATTTAAAAATAAAAGAAGATATGGTATTAGGTATACAAAAACTATACTTACAACCCCCTCTCTCTCCACTACTTCATCACTGACTGCTTTACGTAACTTCATTTTCTTATAAAGTGGATATCTCTCATAATATTGGACTAATTCTACAAGGCTTTCAAATTCAGCAGTTCCTATAGTGAACAAACGACCCTCCTGTCGTATTCTACAATGCTTGATTTTTCCCTCCGCCCTAAACAATGGATAAAAAATCAATTTTTTATACGTGCAAAATTAAATAATCAATCAAGGTTGTAATTGCATCAATGTGAAAACTTCATATCCTCCAACCAATTCACTTCCAAGCAGAGCTGCATCAGTACTAAGGGTGTAGTACTTAAGTACCAGTACCAGTACTTGGCAAATTATGCATTACCAGTACCAGTACTAGATTTTAGCTCGGTACTGCAGTACCAGTACTTTTTTTGGTGAAGTAATTAAGTATCAGTACCATTACTTTTATATATTCATGAATGTTTGAATAAATACAGTGTCAATCAAATAATTGCAAGTATTATTTAGCAAAGAAATAAAATCATAATTTACTTTAAAGTTAACATAACATATTTACAACTTTATAGTTTTAACATACTTTTTACAAACAATATTTACAACATATATTCATGTCATATCCAATTGTTTAGTAACCAGTCAACTGTATAAATACAATGCAAACATCTTTCATTTAAAACACAACAGTTTTTTGTTGCCTTTCACACCTTCACACCTCTATTCAATTTATACCAAAGTAAATAACAACTTTTTATGGTGCTAACAATATCACTTTTTTCACTTGAAATGGGATTATTTAGAATAGAAGAAATTAATAAGTGTTTATTTTGCCTTTTTACTAGTAATACAAAGTAATAAAAGATTTCAATAAGGATATTTTAGTGTATTGAGTTATTTAGTCTGTTTATCTTAATTTAATTTTTACTTAAAGTCTTTGGTGCTTTTTATGATGAATACTATGTTAACATTTGAAGGAATATTGCAGCAAATTATCTTTAGATTTGATAACTTACTTTTTCACAAAAATATAATATAGTTAATGTAATTTACAGCTTTATTTTATGAGAAAAATTGATGCTATTTTTAATCTTTATCAAAACCAAAAGTACTGGGTAATGCAGTAGCAGTACCACTTTTTAAGACAGTAATGCAGTACCAGTACCAGTAGTAGCAAAATTTTGTAAGAGAAATTCAGTATCAGTACCAGTACTTGCAAAATCACTGCAATACATACTGCAGTACCAGTACCAGTACCAGTAATGCAGCTCTGCTTCCAAGTTTCCAAGGTGCCCTGAATGCTTCACTTTAAATATAAGCTTAAACCATTATTCATCAATTAAAGCACAGGGGCCAGTTTCTCAAAGCTCTGTTAAATTTAACTGCCTGTTAAATCCACTAACGGACGGTTAAATTTAACCGTTGTGTTAAATTCTGTTGCTCAAAATTAACGCTCACTTTAACTGCCACTTTAACAGCTGAATCTGTCTGTTAATTTAATCGAGGTTTGAACCTCCGTTAAAATTTAACAGAGGGATCCTAGAAATGAATTTGTATGTGTGATATCTGTTTTTATGCATTGACAGTCGTACTTAAATGAAACATATGCAAAATATCAAAACAGATATAATGAAGAAACAAATTTAACCAATTCCAAATAGTTCATTTTTCTCCAATTGAAATTTCTTCTACTACATGACGTTGTTTAAATTTTTTAAATGTATTTAATCATTACCATAAATTATTGTTTTTGCTCAGGTTTAAAACACACAATGATACATACAATGACTAAAATAAGGTATTTCAATTTTAAGTGTCCATTAAAACAATTTTGTGTGGATGTTATTCTGTAACCATATTTATTTAAGTGAATTAAGTGATGACGCGGAATTAGTGATGTTGAGTATATATATATATGTGAATAATGTGAAATGTGTCAGAATTTGAGTTAACACATCAAAATTTCCATTTACCAATTCCTTAAGAAGAAGAGTTTTGTTAATATTGAAATTTGTTGCTCTTATCTTTTAAACATGATTATTTTAGACAACATGTTTAACTCTGGTAATTCAGACGCCATTTTGCAGACTACAGAATGGGGAATTATGGGATTGAATGAACCTGTTAACAGCTGGTTAAAATTTAACAGGGGTGTTAATTAACACTCCTGTTAAAAAGTTTTGAGCAACAAGTTTTTAACCGACTGTTAAGTAACAGTCGGTTAGCTATTTTAACGGACTGTTAATTTAACAGACGGTTAAATTTAACAGAGCTTTGAGAAACTGGCCCCAGATGTGAGTACAAAAAAATTTCATACCAATGTTGCTATCTATAGCCATGCTTTACTCTTGGGTAACAGAAGCCCAATAATTCAAAACCTTGTATGGGTGGGTAAATAAAAGCCCAATAATTAATACTGTTTGGTATTAAGTATAAGTAAGTTATTTTATTGGGTAAAAAAGGTCAATAACTTATATTCTAGAGTGAAATATACCAAAGTAATCTTTTTGGTTGGGTAACAAATATCCCGTATTTATTTAGCTTTGGTAAAAAGCCTTGTTTTATTTATATTTAGACATATTTGCTGAATAAAGCACGTTTTGTTGTGGTAATTCTTATAATATCATACTGTACAACATTTAACAAGTGATTAATTACCTACCATTCTTCAATTTCTTCAGCATGTGTATAGTATATAAAAAATAAAAAAAAGATTTTCCAACCTACCTACCTACCCATTTTTAAGACAAGGGACAAGAAACACAACTTTTTTTTTCTTGGCATTACCTGAATGATATTGCGTATGAGAACATATCAGTTTCGCTGCGTCTGACAAGAAAGGCACCATCATATGGTATACGTTTCAACATTTCCTCTGCTTGATCACGATCTTTGTTTTCATGATACCATCTGTAAATTCATATATCTCTCATTAAAGTATTCACAACGGGCAAACTTTTCTGCAGATAATCAACTCAAAAGAAATAAATTTAGATAGGAGTGACTGAAAGTTAAGAAAAATTTTCTTCATGATTTCAAGACAAAATATGCCAATGTACAGGTAAAACTTTATAAACTGGCATATCACATTCATGTCAAAAATCTGTGTTGAAAAATTCATAATACGATCTTTTTTTGTTTGTTTGTTTTTTTTTTTTAAATAATAATTGTTTATAAATTTGCTTCAACTGTATTTCATATGAATGATATATGATACAAGAGGGCCATGATGGCCCTGAGGTCGCTCACCTGTATAAAGGCCCCCGGAGCGGGGCCAGTTTAAACCCCAGGGCTTTTATTTGAACAAACTTGAAAGACACTCATAAGAAGATGTTTCACGATGTTAAGTTTGTTAAGTTTTTACTACACACATAATGAAAAACAATGATCTCCCCTCCCCCCCCTCCAGCAGGGCCAATTTTCACCCTAGGGCTTTTATTTGAACAAACTTGGTAGACACCCATAAGAAGATGTTTCACGCAAAACATCTAAGCTCTAGCTCATTGGGTTTTTTAAAAGAAGTTATTTTAAGTTTTTACTATACACTTATAGTTAAAAACAATGATACCCCTGGGGCGGGGCCAGTTTTGACCCCAGGGCCTTTATTTGATCAAACTTTGTAGACACTTACTAGAAGATGTTTCATGCTGAATATCTAAACTCTATCTATTTGGGTTATCAAAGAAGATTTTTAAAGTTTTTGCTATACACATATAAGGAAAATCAATGACCCCCGGGGCGGGGCCAATTTTGACCCCAGGGCTTTTATTTGAACAAACTTGGTAGACACTCACTAAAACATGTTTCATGCTTAATATCTAAACTCTAGCTATTTGGGTTTTTTCAAAGAAGATTTTTTAAGTTTTTGCCATACACATATAAGGAAAATCAATGACCCCCGGGCCGGGGCCAATTTTGACCCCAGGGCTTTTATTTGAACAAACTTGGTAGGCACTCACTAGAACATGTTTCATGCTGAATATCTAAACTCTAGCTATTTGGGTTTTTTCAAAAAAGATTTTTTAAGTTTTTGCTATACACATATAAGAAAAATCAATGACCCCCGGGGCGGGGCCAATTTTGACCCCAGGGCTTTTATTTGAACAATCTTGGTAGACACCCATTAGAACATGTTTCATGCTAAATATCTTAGCTCTAGCTGTTTGAGTTCTTTAAAAGAAGATTTTTAAGTTTTTACTATATGCATATAGGGAAAATCAATGACCCCCTGGGGCGGGGCCAGTTTTGACCCCAGGGCTTTTATTTGAACAAACTTGGTAGACACTCATTAGAAGATGTTTCATGCTGAATATCTTAGCTCTAGCTCTTTGGGTTCTTTAAAAGAAGATTTTTTAAGTTTTTACTATATGCATATAGGGAAAATCAATGACCCCCTGGGGCGGGGCCAATTTTGACCCCAGGGATTTTATTTGAACAAACTTGGTAGATACTCACTAGAAGATGTTTCATGCCAAATATCTAAGCTCTAGCTCTTAGGGTTTTTTAAAAGAAGATATTTAAAGTTTTTTCTTTCAGTTGTCATGGCAACCAGAGTTCTGCATGGGATTAAATTCTTTGAACAATTTTTAAAGGTGACCACCAAAGGAACCCTCTGTGAAGTTTGGATGAAATTGGCTTAGTGGTTTATGAGGAGATGTCATTTAAAGTAAAAGTTTACGGACGGACGGACGCCGGACGAAAAGCGATCACAAAAGCTCACCCTGTCACTTTATGACAGGTGAGCTAAAAACACATCGCAAAAATTATTATCCAATCAGACCAAACGTTACAAACGAACAGTTATATAATAACACATATACACCAAGAACAAATATCTAGAATCTTACTCTTTTCCTTCATGACTCTGTGGCTGTGGTACAGGTTCTTTCAGCACCATAGAAAAGTTGGTTCCCTTGAGCGGATGTGTACGGTAATACATAATCAGGCTGTATAAACTATCAAACATCACATTGTCTATCAAATAATACTTCACCTACAATATAAATATATTTCAAAATGAAAACAACTCTTTTCTTAACAGAGCTCAAATGAGGTCCAAAAGCCTAAAAACCAAGTCAAAAGTAAAACTAATTTGTAGCTATATTAGTCTATAGCACAAGATGTTTAATATCAGATTCAAAATTGTGCATTGTCTTGGGTATGTATTGTTGTTTTGGAACATTTTGGCACAAGCAGTTGATCAAGATTTAAAATGGATATAACTTCTGCTTGGTATTTGACAATTTTTTCAATTCACAAAAACTATAAATACTTCCACATCACAAAATTAACCATTTACAGGCTGTCCAGCACCTTCCGACATAAAATTAGGGCAAATTTTAGGGCAATCTTTTAGAAATTTTAGGGCTAAAATTAGGAATTTAAGGGTACATAATAGAAATTTTAGGGCTAAAATTTGGACTTAACTAAGGCCCCAAAGGACCATGATGTGGGCTTACCTTTGCATATTTGACACAAAAGTAACTCACAAATAATGCTCTAGTTTAGTTAGAGCAAAGGTGTCTACCAGTGTGGCTTCACTGGTCAACTGCCTCCCCTGCAGAACGGTCATAGTCAAACCATGTTCAAACCATATTTGAAATATGTTTTTTCAATGGCTGAACATGTCAAAAAGAACATGTTCTACCTATGTTTTGGGAATGTTATAACCAAAAGTGTCTAAAAGGAATTCTTATACAGTGAAATTCATGCACAATGCAGCTTTTGAGACAAATGAATTTTTTTTGTACAAGTAGGAAGTAAAAAGGCATTAGCCTTAGTACAGTCATTTGAACAAATGGGAAGCATCTATAATCAACACACAGAATTGCACATCAAAAAAGTTCATCACACAGACCATTCAATTGCAGTTTATCTAGATCATATAATTGCAAAATGTGTGTAGATGGTAACTGGAAATGAGCTTTATATTAGTGAACTGCCATATTATTTTGAGTGTGATTCTGCCTTTTCCTAAATTGCACCATATGAATGAAAGAACAAGAATTGAATGAAATTGATAACTTTGTGGCAAAATAAGCAATTTCTCCTACAGAAGCATTGGAAAGGATAAATAAGTATGAGGGAAAGAATTAATTTTGTAAAGTCTACATTAACACATTTAGTACTTTACAATGTTGTTTTGAAATTATGCAGATTTAAATGAAAGAGTTGTGAGTAAACAAATTGTACATTAATTTTTGACAACTATTTATACATGTTTTTAATTAAGATTGTGTTACAACAGCTTCATATTGATTATTTTCAAATATGATATGATATAAACGGACCACTTCAGCCATTTGGATAAAAAAAAACACACATAAAATTCAAGATATCTGGGGTTGGCAAAACAGTGTCAAAATATTCCAGAATAAGTGGACCTCTTATGGTTATGATTAAAGTTTCAGGATTATGATATGGTAGTGTTTTTGCTGTTAACTGTCAACATGATTATCAACAACTGCTTTGATTATGAAATAGCAATGTTACAGACATAGTCAAAGCAACTTTTAGTTGAAACGAAACCATTTCAATGTCACTAATTTTGAGTTGGCAAATCATGGCCAAATCAATTTTGACCATGTTCAAAACATGGTCGACTTTGTTACATTTGTATGTCCGTGTTCATTTTCACAGGGTTACAAGTTATAAGTATGTTTATAGGAAAAGATAAAAAAATTAGGAATTTCAGTGAAAAAATAGGGCATTTTTAGGAATTCCCTTTGAATTTTTCACTTTTTTAGGAATTTTAGCCAAATTGAAAAAAATTAGGATTTTTTAGGAATTTTAGGGACGCTGGACAGCCTGCATTTATGCAGTACTGCTGGCTTAGGGATATCATTTTTATAATCAGCAATAAAAAAAATTAAACTGTCCTATACCTGTCCTAATTCCTGTTTGGATTTGATTCTACAATGGTTTATGGTGTTTTGCCACCTGTAAAAGTAAATAGCATTTGAATCTGTAGAAACACATTGTCTGAGAAATTGCAATGGTATCTTTTAATATGTTCACAAAGTCATACAAAATCATATTTCTTTACCTTCAAAGAACAAGTGCTATATCATAATGAATGCATTGTCCATGTGTTTGACACTGACCCTGTGGCCATTATGTAACATGAAGTCTGCAGATTGTAGATGTAAGTACCTTTTTTATGTTTTGTGACAAACAGACACATGGACCAACAAGAGAGTCATGCTGACCCTAATTCTTTCATCTCTGTTCAATTGCTAGATAAGCTTACAATTTATAAATGAAGACATATATGTACATAAAACTGGGTCACATTTTGGCCTGCCATTTTTTTTACCCCCAGCAGCATGTTTTATACAAATTTCAAGATCAATCAATAGTACATTAATATATTTGAGCTAATTCAAAACAAAGAAACACCCAGTAACTTTTTAATTTTTACATGTCAAGGGGAAAGACAGTACAAGTCCAAATTGCAGGGCTCATCCGGAAGGGCAATTCAGGCGAAAACTTCGCCGTGTATATTTCCATTTCGCTCTCCCAAATGATCAAAGAGAAGTCAACATCGCCGATAAAATCTTAATTCCCAAAGAGTAATTACTTGGCGATGCAAAGAGCAGAGATTGTATCCGCCCATCTGACGACTGCTAAATTAAATTATCATTATCCAATCAGAGCGTCGCTTTATACTACCCTTCTACCTGTATGCAAAGCGATAGACCGCCTACTCTGCACAGTAAATAATGAGAGCATCGGCCCGAAACGGGTATAATTGTGTGACAGTTTTGCGAGTTTAATACGGGATTAGGCGATAATAATAGATTGTTTTTTCCCCGATCATCTTTTTTTTTCCCCTGATCATCTTTTCCCCGATCATCTAAACACGTGCAAATCTTCCCCAATTGATATACACGTGCCATGGCTTTTTCACGACTATCACAAAACTGTTAGTCAATTAAAAATAATCAATTTCATTAATTATCAGCGACCGGATTAAAAACTAAATCATAGCTTTGAATGATTTCAGTCCTTTAACATCAATTAACAAGAGGGCCATGATGGCCCTAGATCGCTCACCTGAATTATCAAACTCATCCAAACAATTACCTAGACAAGCATTCTGACCAAGTCTCATGACAGGTGAGTCAAAAATGTGACCACTACAGTGTTAACAAGGATTATCCATATTTGAGCAGTGCGACCTAGTTTTTTACCCAGGTGACACATATTCAAACTTGACCTAGAAATCATCAAAACAAACTTTCAGACCAATTTCCAGGATACTTGGATCAAAACAGTAGCAACTAGAGTGTTAACAAGATTTTTCTATTTTTAGCTCCGGTGACCTAGTTTCACATGCAATTTCGAACTCATCCAAGCAATTACCTAGACAAGCATTCTGACCAAGTTTGATGATAATGGAGTCGAAAATGTGACCACTAGAATGTTAACAAGGTTTTTCCATATTTGGGCGGTGTGACCTAGTTTTTCATCCAAGATGACCCATGTTCGATCTTGACTTAGAAATCATCAAAACAAACTTTCAGACCAATTGACAGAATATTTGGATCACAACAGTAGCCACTAGAGTGTTAACAAGATTTTTTCTATTTTTAGCTCCTGTGACCTAGTTTTTTCATCCGAGATGTCCCATGTTCGATTTATGCCCAGCAATGACCTAGACAAGTTTCCTGACCAAGTTTGATGACAATTGAGTCAAAATTGTGACCACTAGAGTGTTAACAAGGTTTTTTCTATTTTTAGCTCCTGTGACCTAGTTTTTCATCCGAGATGACCCATGTTCGAACTCATCCGAGTTATTACCTAGACAAGCATCTTGATCAAGTTTGATGATGATTGATGCAAAAATGTGACCGCTAAAGTGTTAACAAGGTTTTTCTATTTTTAGCTCCGGTGACCTACTTTTTCATCCGAGATGACCCATGTTCGAACTCATCCAAGCTATCAACTAGATAAGCATCCTGACCAAGTTTGATGATGATTGATGCAAAATTGTGACCGCTAGAGTGTTAACAAGGTTTTTCTATTTATAGCTCCGGTGACCTAGTTTTTCATCCGAGATGACCCATATTCGAACTCATCCGAGCTATTATCTAAACAAGCATCCTGACAAAGTTTGATGATGATTGGGTCAAAAATGTGACCACTAGAGTGGTCACAAGGTTTTTCTATTTTTAGCTCCTGTGACCTAGTTTTTCATCAGAGATGACCCATGTTCGAACTCATCCAAGCAATTGACTAGACAAGCATTCTGACCAAGTTTGATGATGATTGGTTCAAAAATGTGACCACTAGAGTGTTCACAAGGTTTTTCTATTTATAGCTCCTGTAACCTACTTTTTCATCCGAGATGACCCATGTTCGAACTCATCCGAGCTATCACCTAGACAAACATCCTGACCAAGTTTGATGAAGATTGGGTCAAAAATGTGACCTCTAGAGTGTTCACAAGGTTTTTCTATTTTTAGCTCTTGTGACCTAGTTTTTCATCTGAGATGACCCATGTTCGAACTCATCCGAGCTTTCAACTAGATAAGCATCCTGACCAAGTTTGATGATGATTGAGGCAAAAATGCGACCGCTAGAGTGTTCACAAGCAATTGTGGACGGCCGGACGGACGACGGACGACGGACATTCATCGATCCTAAAAGCTCACCCTGAGCAAGCTCAGGTGAGCTAAAAATTGTTATGTCGCTCATGTCATGGCTACAGGGCGAATTGCCCAAACCTTGATACACCTACGCGAAAATTTAAGAAAGCCAATTCGCAAAAATATTAAGATTGGTATGTTGTAGACAGTGAGAGTGTTTGGCATTGTTATCTTTTTTATTTGACACAGCTTATGCACGTGGTCATGACATCTCGGAAAAACTACAAATCATGATCGGCATGCTACATATCGGTCGTATATCATGTGTACATGTATATAACAACAAAATTTGTCAGGAAAGAAGTGGTCTTATTGTTTCAATATATATATTTATTTAATGTCATAAATATGACGTTCAGATTAAGATTGATCAATATTGTAAATTTCAAAAAGCATTATTTATAAAGATATTAGAGTTTAACATATTTCATGAAAATAAAGGGAGGTAATTAGAAATTTATTTTCTATAATTTCTCAGTCATATTTTTCAATAAGAAATGAATGTATATAATTTTAGTGATCAAATATATAGTGCATAAATGTTTGCAGTACATATTTTACATATTCTTCGATGTTTGAAAATTGTTTTATAAGCATAATTACATGCACATAAATGTGACATTACAACATACAAAATTATACACATACAACATACAAAATTATAAGGGGGCCTCCGTGGCCGAGTGGTTAAAGTCGTTGACTTGAGATCACAGGTCCCTCACCACTGTAGGTTCGATCCTCATTCGGGTCGAAATCTTTCATGTGAGGAAGCCATCCAGCTGGCTTACGGAAGGTCGGTGGTTCTACCCAGGTGCCCGCTCGTGCCTGAAATAATGCCCGGAGGGGCACCTGGGGTCTTCCTCCACCAATAAAGCTGGAAAAAATCGACGAAAAATCTCGGCGGGACGCTCTAGGATGACCCGACTTGAGTGTACGGTCGCCCATATGGGCTTTCCGGCGGCGACCTTAAATAAACGCATCAAAAAAAAAAAAAAAAAAAATTATACATACAAAATTATAAAAGAATTTCTGAAATCGTAACAGAATAGACAGATTTTGTTAATCAATATCCAATGTAACTTTATCTTCTTTTAAAAGTGAGGAAAGTAATAATATAAAATTAATTTATTCATCATATTTTTTCTTACACATTATTATCAATAAATCTACTGAAAACATATAAACAAATATTTAGAGAAAGCTTATAAATAGCTGATAAATAGATTATGTTTATATTATAGTTAAAGGATGCATGTTAATGCATACACATTGGGTTGTTTCCCTTCTCCCTATTTTTTGCGAGTCACTTCTCCCTAAAATTTCCCCCCAGGATGAGCCCTGAATTGTCCACGATTTCAAGCAGCACAAAGAGCATCTAAGTAGAAACCATCAACCTAATGTTTTATGGTGTGTTAAAATATACAATAATTCTTGCCTGAAAGACAGAGAGAAGTCTCCGACAAATGTATCACTATCTCTGACAAGAAAAGTTCCATTTCCAAGGCTAGCATATTCCTTGAGTTTGTTCTCGGCTTCAGTTCGTCCCCCAGGTAACCGACCATGAAACCATTTCTCACTAAAATGAAGCTCTTCCTGCGGCTGCCCCTATACATCAATATATTAAAAAGAAACTTTACATTTCCTTCAAAACAATTTTTCAGAAATTATGTCAGTTTCTTAGTTTTTTGCTACACAAAACTGAGTGCTTTTCAGTTAGTTCACATTTTTTTTGTTATCTTTGAAAAAATTACTTTGTATACTTCTATATTTTTATATAAGTGCAAGCAAAATTGTATTTTTTTATCACTCTAAAACATCAAATATACCTAATAACCTATCTATTTTACCTCTATATTTCTACCTAGCTATAAACCTAATATATTGCTAAAATCACCTAACTATATTACCTCTATACTGCTACAATTGCCTAACTATATCACCTCTATATTGCTACAATCACCTAACTATATTACCTCTATATTGCTACAATCACCTAACTATATTACCTGTATATTGCTACAATCACCTAACTATATTACCTCTATATTGCTACAATTGCCTAACTATATTACCTGTATATTGCTACAATCACCTAACTATATTACCTCTATATTGCTACAATCACCTAACTATATTACCTGTATATTGCTACAATCACCTAACTATATTACCTCTATACTGCTACAATTGCCTAACTATATCACCTCTATATTGCTACAATCACCTAACTATATTACCTGTATATTGCTACAATCACCTAACTATATTACCTGTATATTGCTACAATCACCTAACTATATTACCTCTATATTGCTACAATCACCTAACTATATTACCTCTATATTGCTACTATTATCATCATCAGTGTCCTCCTCCTCCTCGTGACTTGTCTCCACGCTGTAGTATAGTTTAGTGGATGTTAGCACGAAGAAATGTGGAGTCCATGACTGATCTATAGGGTCCTCTAAGTATAGTAATCCATTTTTCACAGAGTTGCTCAAGTCACCTTCTCTGGCATCTATAGAACAGTAAAAAAATACAAATATAATCTTCACCTCAATTAATTACACACTGTCTATTTCAAAATACAGTTTAACCTTTGCAAAGCAACACCCCTTTGGAAAAAAATATTTGGTGGCTGCTTTCAGGGGTTTGCCTACAGGATAAAATATTGTGGGAAAAAAATTTTCTTTGGGAAAAAATTAGTGTTGTTTTTTGTTGTAAAGGAATGAAAACCCAGAGGCCTCCTGCAGAGGGTTTTTGTGAATTAACTCTTTTTGATATCCTTTTCCCACCCGTTTTCCCTTTAGCATTAAAAATGATTTTTTTTTATCAAAAATGAAAAAAACAGTGCAAATGGGG